TTTTAGCGACGAAGACAATAATTCCTCTCCAAAATGGTATTTTCTTATAGTGGGCTATACTCTCTAATAATTGAACAAGGCTGTCATTCTCAAGATAGCATCATATAATTGCCAAACCCACGTACACTTTTGCCAACTTGGCCTTTATTAAATCATACCCATTGTGATTTAGATACACATTGCATGACAAAAGTTAGGCTGCTCGGAATACTTTCATACTCATGACAATGATATTGTCTCCTAAAAAAGTATTATTATTATTTTTTGTTTATAGTGCAGCCAGTGCTTCAAATCATTGTTCAAGAGGCATCAATCTTTTTTCTTTTTCAAAAACATTTTCCAAGTACGTCCACATTAAGCTCTTAACTATGATGTATCCTCAGAAGAATACGTGAAATCATCCATACATCTTTAGGGCTCTCTTTGAACACACACCTATACTCTGTAATCATCCATTCGCACACACCTACAACCACAACCACACCCACACACAAATCAATCATAAACAGCATTGATGCCCCTCACCAAACCCAATATGGTCAACGACCTCAACAAACCCAGACCCCAACCCGAATCCACCTCCACCCTACACCAACAGATGAACGATCCATCAAACAACCCCTTTTCTTCCTAGATTTGAGACCAAAAATTAGAAGCGTAGAATAGGGATTGAAGAAGAGGAAATTAATAGAATAAAAATATCAGATTCTTCACATTGTTGTTGTCAATCTGATCGGTAGAAGTGAAAAGCCAGGGAGAGGTTTTGATCCACTACTAACAGATGTGTATTTGAGTGTGTTTTTGGGTGTATTTGTGTGTATGGCCATCTGTTAAGCAAAAGATGGATGCAAAGAAAAGGGTTGAAGACAGGCCAGGCCGAAAAGGGAAGATGATAGATGGAGTAAAAGCTAAAGTCTTTACATGAGGGACCCAAATAATAGATGAGCCAGATGTTTACTAGTTGTCTACAAATTGGTGGCTTTTCGGCTCCATCGTCCATAATTTAAAGAAAAATGTTACATAACTTAAATAAAATTCAAAATTTTTTAACTCAAATACATATCATCTCTTAGATGATTATTACGGGGGTTATATAGCATTACTCATACCTTAATCTCAATACTCTTGTGTTTATGTATAAGTTTATCATTTATGTAGTAGGATGATGCATAGGTATCGCTTCCACAAATAACTGATTCATAATGCCTTGTTTTAACGAATTTATTTTTTACTTTAAAAAGTTACTTATAAAACACAACTAAACCGCACAATGAATTCTAGACATATTTTATATTGCAACTAGGCATGTCAATGGACCAAGTTTAAATTTGATCCAAATTCGTTTAACCAGATATGAACCAATATTTTCATCCGTTTATTCAAATCCGATCCGCATTTATTTAAATATCTTGAATCAGATATAGATACGATAAAAATTCGATCCGGTGAATATATATATATATTGATTATTTGTATTTAATCTTTTAAAAAAAAGATAATTTGTTGAAATTTTATTAGAATACTATTATGGATCAGATTGAATGTCCAATTATAAGCGGATTTGAATATGAACTAATAATTTTCTATCTGTTGGGCAAACGAATTAGATTCAATAACAAATTTTCTAATCGGATTCGGATGGACTCAGATCCGATCTGTTGACAAACTTATTTGCAACACGTATTGCCACCACAATATTACAAAATCACTTGGGAGGGAGATTTTGTAAGAAAATTTGATAAACATAACATTATTCCCTCGAAGTTCGAACTCCAATCTCCCACCAGAGAAATGTAGTTTATCATATGCATGTGATTTATAGGTGATCATGCTCATTCCGAGTTTATCTTAGTAGTCGCAAATCTAAAACGCATGTGATTGAGTTTACAATAATCAAACACAAAAATAAAAACTAATTAGGATAAATTATAATTTTAACTCTCAAAGTATGCACCTAAATTTTATTTGGTTTCAATTGCAATAATCAAGTCCCTTGAGTTTTAATTAAATTTTAATTTAGTCATTAAATCATAATTCAGTAATTTATTATGACGAAATAATCTTCTATGACAAACATNTCAATCTCCCACTAGAGAAATGTAGTTTATCATATGCATGTGATTTATAGGTGATCATGCTCATTCCGAGTTTATCTTAATAGTCGCAAATCTAAAACGCATGTGATTGAGTTTACAATAATCAAACACAAAAATAAAAACTAATTAGGATAAATTATAATTTTAACTCTCAAAGTATGCACCTAAATTTTATTTGGTTTCAATTGCAATAATCAAGTCCCTTGAGTTTTAATTAAATTTTAATTTAGTCATTAAATCATAATTCAGTAATTTATTATGACGAAATAATCTTCTATGACAAACATGTGACTTAGATAAAGAAGTATAGTTGTCTGATTAAAAATCTATTACATATAAACTAAAAAAAAATTATTTTATTACATCTGATTTTTTTTTTAAAAAAGATAACAAACTCAAATTAAAAAATAGAGTGAAAATTGAGAGATATAGGAAGACAAAAAGATATTTATACCCTAATGGGAAAGTGTTGTGGCTTTTTTTCTATCAAAACAAATTAGAGGAATAATATTGTGACCGAATTTGCTAACCTAATTCATTATAACTTTTGAATTCGTTGTAAATCTCATCAAAACATTAAAACTTGATATTGATTCAATTATTCCTATGAATTCACATCATTATCTCAACAAATTATGCCAGATTTTTAGGTCCGAATAATATTATTCAACAAATTTGAATAAAAAGACTAAATTAAAACTCAGTTAAAACTTTANTTATTTTATTTCATCTGATTTTTTTTTTTAAAAAAAGATAACAAACTCAAATTAAAAAATAGAGTGAAAATTGAGAGATATAGGAAGACAAAAAGATATTTATACCCTAATGGGAAAGTGTTGTGGCCTTTTTTCTATCAAAACAAATTAGAGGAATAATATTGTGACCGAATTTGCTAACCTAATTCATTATAACTTTTGAATTCGTTGTAAATCTCATCAAAACATTAAAACTTGATATTGATTCAATTATTCCTATGAATTCACATCATTATCTCAACAAATTATGCCAGATTTTTAGGTCCGAATAATATTATTCAACAAATTTGAATAAAAAGACTAAATTAAAACTCAGTTAAAACTTTAAAAATATAATTATATCAATTTAAACTTTAAAAACCAAATAAAAATTACGCCCATACTTTAAGGACATAAAAATTATAAATTACTCTAAAAAGTAACTTGAAATTTTTGCTAGGTCCCATTTCGTTGAGAATTCCACATCGACTAGCCTCTAATAGAGAATCCATGAATTCCATGCACTTGTACCAAGTTTGCCACACATTAACAAGAGTTAAAATTCTTTGTACCACTAAGAAAAACACCTTCCTATGGATCATTTCCTCAAAAAAGATCATATTAATCTTCCAAACGACTCTCGAGAATGATGAAGGATGGGTCATTTTTTCTCAATGTTATTCTTATGGCTTGTTTGGTAGGAAGGATAAAAAGTTGAAAGAAATATATTTTCCCTAATTATGTTAAACATAATAGATAGAAAATTGAAGGAATGCATTTTCCTTTATTTAGTATTGGATGAAAAGTAAAAATATATATATCAAATTTATCATTATACCCTCACATCTAATTACATGAATAAGATTACAGAAAATAAACCAAAATACATGATTTTTTTAAATATTTTTTTTATAAGTATAATATATTTAAACTACTTAAAGTTTATAAGTATATAATATTTAGACCATTTATAAGTTTAAAATATTACTTATACCAAAAATACTCCAATCAAAGATGAAATATTAAATGTTTCAAATTTTACAATCAAAATTCATGCTATTGTATTATTTATTAAAATAAAATTTAGTTACAAAGAAATTCTCCATTTAATTATTTAATGTATATCTAACTAAAAATTACATATATTTTTTTTATTATGTACATTTAATTATTAATTCTTTCGTTACATATATAAAAGTGGGCTCGAGGGAAGAGAGTGATGAGTAAAATAGTCAATTCACAAAAAAACCCACCTTCCCTCCATTTTCAATTTATTTTCCGCCCATTTATGGGGAAAAAATATTTGGTGGGCACAAGGAAAAGCACTTTCCTTCCATTTTCCATTCCCTCCCATTTTCCCCCCATACCAAACAATGAAAAAAATTTCCTTCCTTCCTTCCCACTTTCTTTCATTTTTCATCCTCCCTATTTTCCCTCCAACCAACCCTCCAACCAAACGGTATTAGTGAAATTTTTCTTTTTTTTGTCAAACAACATTAAATAAAAAAAACAAAATTCAAACCTATAATCTTTTACAAAGGCTAACGGCGGCCGTCGGCTAGTGGGAATTGATAGGTAGAAAAATATGAGAAATGAAAGAGACCCAAGAAAGGTGATGTGCACTACATGGGAAAGAGAGTAGAAGTAGCTTTTATTATCATGGTCTTAAAATTCAAAACCAACTTCTCCAAAGACCACTACATGACGGCTAGTGCTTATCCACTCTGCCAGCCTGTTCCCCTTTTCTCTCTCTCTCTATCACACCACCTCCACCTCCAAGAGAAACCACTGTAAAAAACACTACAAAGTTATAATATTTCTCTCAATTAGATTCCTGCACCGTGAACCTTTGTCATATGTGTGGCATCACATCTACTTTTGGATTTATGCCTGTTTCCTTCCCTATCAAAGTCCGCTCTCTTCCCTATTTCTCTTGTGTAGATGCATACAGTACACATGTGCAGATCTCTCTCTATCCCTCTTGTGTAAGATGCAGACAGTACAGGGGGAGAGGGAGAGGGGGAGGGGGAGGGAGTAACTGATGGAAATNCATCAAAGGCAGAACAACATAAAAACATGTCCCCACTTCACTGCATAATATAAGGTAACAACTGCAGCAAACAGACAAAAACTCTCCAACTACAGACAGGAACACACCAGACATTTATATATATATAGTTATTTTTATTTGGCGAACTAAAATTATAGAATAAAACAACTTTACACGTATCACAATTTTTTATATATTGAATATTGAAAAGAGGAGGTAATGGGAACCATAGTCGAACCCTTTTCGATATCTTAGTTCGACCCGCAAAACAAATACAGTAAGAGCAACAGCAAGGTAATTTAGACAGAAAATCTACCATTTCTATTGTAACTAAACTACTGAACTGATCTGACTATTTACCTTCCTTTCTCTCTGAAATACTTTAAAGATCTCACACTTCCCTTTTTGAGTACCAAATCAGTCTTGTAGTTACATATGATATCACATCTTTTTTCCACTTCTTCATCTTTCTGTGATCTGCTTCTTCTGCTATACATCAACTGTATTTCCTAAAAAGTAATACAGACTAACAAACTATATTTCCTGCTGGATACAAACTGGGAAAGCCATTCATGGTGAGAAAAAGGGATGAAAATTACAGAGTCCCGGAATTTCACTGTCATACATCGATTCTTTGACTATTGTGACTATTTCTTTACCTGTGGTCCAACTTCAATTACTGATATGAAAGAGATAGGAAATGGAGAGAGAAAATGGCTGACCCACTTGCTTCACTGCCTTTTGTGTATGCATTTGTATTGTAGTAGTATAGTATTTATGATTGAGAATGGTGATGATGTCTGGTGGTGACTTCTCTACAGATCTCTGCTATATGGGTTTTTGTTATTGGTCACACTTATCAATCTTCTTCCTGTAAAATATAACAAAAACAGCCAAAAACAATGCAACTAACCTCATTAAACAAAATTTCCTAGGATGGGGGTGGTATGTAAAGAGAGCCAAGTTTTTTTATAAATTTATTTTGATCAAGAGAAGAGACCAAGATATCTTAGGTATACTGGAATGTGATCACTTACCTAACCTAAGGAAGCTAAAGCCAAACCGGGTATGAGCACCCTACATTTCAATGGCTCCATGACCAGAAGAAAACCTGCATAAAACCACAATCAAATTCAAGAAACCCGATTATACATGTATATGAGAAGAAGACGTAATGCTTGAGGAGAAAAAGAGTACCTGGGAGCTTGGAAGTAACATGATTTCAAGGAAGCCATGTCCAATGTTGAAGTAGCAGGAAGTAAGGATGAAGTGATCAAGTTATTGTTAGCAGCAGAAGGTGGAGAAAAAGCGGCATTCTTTTCAGCCTCACCAGCAGCATTTGAGAAGCCTGTCATGTAATCTCCAGCAGCTTTAGGAGATGCAAAGGGGCTATCAGGAAGGTTGTGCTCCAAGCTGCATTTAATTTCAAAATCTTACATCTGAGTGAACCCTATGAATTCAAAGCAATAACTAACTAACTATATTGCATTGCTGACATTGGATTTCCAAATGGGGAGACTGCTAGGTTCCCAAATTAGCTATAAAATTGAGTACATGTATATGTTTGAATAAAGAAAAAAAAGTAGCAGTATATTATTGAAAGTCATGTATAACATGATTTCTAAAAGAGTCTTAAGTCGCGACAAAACTGAAAATTTAGGGCAAGAAATACTAAGTTCATAATGTGTATCTCAATTGCACAACGATCCCACAATTATCATTTATGTCAATACGATCCTTAAAGTCTCATCCAACTCTTCTTCTCTTCCTTTGTCATTTCTACTTCACACTCACTCAATGCACCACCAAGAATTATACACTCATACTCCTCCCTCCCCCAATCCAGCTGTACGCACACCCAGTCACCCTACCGCTCTCCCAGCGGGACATACCCACAAACGCAAATCCTCTATCCCCATCCCCTTCAACCACCCAACACACAGTAGGCCCCATGATTAGCCCTTTTAAATACTAAAATGATATTATCGACTAAAGTGACACAAATGGTAATTAATTGGGGGACCAGAGTGCATTTGAAAGCATACATGAGAAGCCATTATTACTTGGTCCTAAACCACTATAAAATAACAGTAAAACATGGGATTACTATTTTCGGTGCCTTTTCTCACTAATATATATGAACGTGAAAAGTCACCAACCTTTCAGGTAAATCACTTTCTTGCTTACGAGAGCTTTCTTTGCCATTGCCACTTTCGTCCCTGAGAGTTGACAAGTCTCTCTCTTTCTCAATCACATTTTGATGCAAGTGCTGATCAGCTGTAACAGTTGCAGCAATCGCCATTGCCAGACTTGAACCACCATTCTCTTCAAAAAAAAAAAAATCAGCGAGCTAATAATATTGTTTCAACCATATCAAATATTCAAATGTTTAGTTAAACTTTAAATTACCAGTAATAATTGGTAGTGAAGTAAGTGAATAATGTACCTTCAATTACTTCTGGGCTGCTGTGATCTGAAGGAGTACTGAAGATAGTTTCATTGAAAACGTTGGGGGTGTTCATGGGAGAAGGAATTGCAGCGCCGGTAGAGAGGGTACGCTGATGGGAGTTCCTCTTCACATCAAGAAGTTGCAGACCCATCAATCTCCGACTTTGAATCTCAATGGCTTGTTGCAAATCAGCTTGTTCCTCTAACTTCCTCCTCCATAACATGTCCTGAGTGTTGTAAAACATCCCAGCTCCTGGAGAGAGAGTCAAATTTCACAGAAGTTCATCAATCAGTGTACTTGCAATGTAACTGAGATAATTACTTACCCAGCTGAAGATCATAAGGGTCTCTTGCATCTAAACCAGTAGGGCTACCACAACTCTCCACTTGTTGCTGCTGTTGCTTCCTGCAATTCCATCACTCCATTAGAATAACAGCATCAAGATTACCTAAAACATTGATGGAGAGAGAGAGAGAGAGAGGAGTGCCTGAACTTGTCTGGGACTTTGCCTTTCTCCTTGTAAGGCTTGACAAGCACCCTCGCATCACACACAAAATGAGGGTTCCCTTTGGCAAGAATGAGCTTCACAGTCTCTGGATACACAAATGTAACAAACCCAAACATTCTCTTCTGTTGATATGGAATCCTCACATCTTGAACTGGCCCAAAAATACTATAAGACCAAACTCAAAACAATTCAAAAACTGATTTTCACTGAACAAAAGTTCAATTATCAAGAACACTACTCATAAAAAAAAAAAAGTCTGTCAGTGCCCGAGAATGCAGTGTCTAGCCTTAAAGTTGAAGAAAAAAAAACCAACCTGAAGTAATTGGATACATCTTCTTCTCTGAAAGTACTATCAGCTGGAAATGTCAAGTAAATCTGCCTTGAACCCGGGTTGTTCACCATTCCCAGACCGCCATTAATGGAGAAATCGTTTCTTTCAAGCCTGGACCGTCCAAATTTGTTGACATCTTCACCCATCATCATTGCCCTGAACAAGTGAAAATCAACAAACTATAAACAAGAACTTGAAGACAAAGATTTTGAGCAATTATGGTAGTTGTACATGCCTTGGGCTATGATCAGCCTGTAATTGTTGTTGTTGGAGAAGAAAATTAATTCGTTTGTTGGCTACCACAGAACAGTAATTTGGAAAATTTGAAGAGCCCATGAGCTGAGAAACTGAAGCTAATCTTTGTTGGTGGGCTGATTTAGATCTGAGAAGCTCTTGGCACTGCTCCACAGTTTCAAACTTGCTGGGTGAACCAGCCATGGCCGCACCATCTGCACCAACCATGGCGGCCTCAGCGAGGCCGCCATGAACAAACCTGCAACTACTGCCATTTTTACAGTACCCTCTAGCAAAATACAAGCAAGGTTTCCACCCAAACCCACCAGCTGGGTCATCTGCACAGACGTCACTCACCGAACAGCTCCGCCTGTGGGGGAGGCCGTTGGTGGAGCCAACCCAGTTAGCATAAGGGAAGTTCATACCATCGCCGCCGCTTGCGTTGGGGCTGGGTGCTAAATCCGGTGGTGGGTAGTACAAATCAGAGTTTTTTGGCCCATCGTTGAGGAAAGAGAACTGATCTTGGAGCTGAAATTCATCAATCAGGTCTGCCTCTCCACGGCCATAAAAAGGAGGAGCAGATGAGTTCATGGTTGAAGACGATGACCCAGTTGTTAAATTACTGATTCCATTACTTGAAGCACCGCCATATGGATTTGAATTTGAACTAGGACTCGCAAGAACTTCTGGGTTTTGAAAATCAGAAAAGCTTGAGGCCCAAGAAGATGGAGAAGATGAAGACTGGTTTGGTATGCTAAGAGGAGAGGGAAGATTTATATTTATACCACCAAGAAGCCGAGAAGAGCCTGAAAAAGAGCTCTGTCTGGAGAGAGAAAGCTGAGGATTGTTGAAAGGCGCCGGAGAAGAAGGCGTCGACGGCGAGGAAGGTGTGTTTGAAGATAAACCCAGTTCTTTTCTGGCTTTGAGAATCACTGAGTGAACCAGAGCTTCAGGGCCAAAAGCTAAGCGAATCATTTCTTTCTCACCATGATCTTGAATCAGAAGAAATCCCATGATTTTAGAGGCATTTTCAGGATCTAAGTTTTGAATCCTTTGGAAAACAATCTTTGTTGCTTCATATGAATCCATTGTTTGGTGTTGGTGGTAGATTCCACTCCCACTCTCCAACTATCTTTTGGTACAATTACAAGTTTGAGCTTTCTTAGAGTGAGTGAACAGTGCACAAAACAAGTGATATCCTCTTTCTACACCCACCACCTACCACATGTACCTCATCAGTAGTTGTAGCTCAGTTACTCTCTATCTCTCTGTTCTTCCTGCAGAAACTTCACACAAGAAAGGAGAATAAAAGAAAAGAAAGGTGTTAAAAAGGGCGTATTCTCGTGGGGGAAGATATAAAAAAAAAAAAAAAAGGAGGGAATGATGATGAGAGATGCCTTTGCTCAAAGGAAAATATGGTGGTTGAATTTATCTATGTCATGATAGCCCTCTCTCTCGCTCTCTTCTTTCCCACAAAATAATAATAGACTTGCTCTGTGCTCTAAAAGTACGGCTCACACATTAAATCTTTAGTCTTTCTCTTATGAGGAGGGTGACCAGTGATGGAGGAAACCAAGCCAACTCCCATTTATATGTCACTCTCTCTCTCCTCTTTCCCTCTCTTTTTTTTTTTTTTTTTTTTTTCTTTCTTTCTTTCCAGCCTCAACATAAGTTACTCCGCATAATCAGAACTTACTACAAAAGCCAAACCACCGCCTTTTACTTCTTTCTATGCAAGCTACAGAAGTAGCAGCAACAGCACCATTAATTTCTCTGCTGCTGCTTAATTTGAACCACTCTCTCTCTCCCTCCCTCTTAATTCGAACCCCTCCAATATCACCATTGTTTTTTGGGTTCTGGGTAAGTGGACAGTAAAGTAATGGCTGATAGTTGAGTTTCTCCCTCTATACGTATAGATCCAAGAACAGTCTCTCTCTCTCTCTCTCCCTCTCCCCTTTGAAGATATAAACAAAGAGTGGTAGGGTAGTAGAGATAGTTTTTAGTGTTTGAGCGGATCCAGATCTGCCTCTTCAAATAGTGCACGTTCTGCCTTTGCTTCAAACCTCACGCTCTCCATTTTTCTCTTCTTTTTAGCTACCGAGAGTGATTTGTCCTACTCGCAGTGACAGCCCGTGAATCCAACACGATTCAAGGACAATTGTGGGACCCATATTTGTTTTCTAAAATTTATTTACTTTATTTTAAATATTATTTATTGACCAAAAAAAAATTAGACCTTCATTATTAACGCAGCTAATCGATCAAATTATGGTGCCAAAAATTGTAAGAGTATGATGATTTGCTAATATTAACTTAGAGGTGTCAATTTTTAATTCAAACATGAACCCGACTCGAATCGAATTCAACACGAACTAAAAAATAACACGATTAATTGACACGAGTAATAAATTTGTTAAATTAAGGTTTGACACAATTAATGGATACAGTAAATAGAAAATAATTATTTAATGAGTATTGTAGATAAAAAATATGAATTTTATAATTTTTTAAATAGTATTATATTAATTGTTATCAAATTAAATAATTTTTTATTAATACGAATATTAACACGAATCCGATACATACCGAAAATAATACGACACAAAAATAACACGATCGAAAATGACACGATAAAAAACTGATATGGCATGATACGATTGACAGTTTTAATATTACTGAAATTTTTATTTATTTATTTATCGAATTTTATTATAAAAATAAAAGGATGAAGTTTAAACTCACCGCTTCAAAGTATAAAAACACAGGGCGATGGTAATTGAGCAAACCAATGTTAATTTGATAATTGATGTGTGGGACCTACCTAAGCTGTTCACCATCTTTGATGATTCAAGAAACTCATGTGATTGGTTAATGTGTACCGGGGGAGAGAGTCACAGTCACTGCCCTTCTCTCTCCAATCAACTAGGCCTCCCTCCCTCCCACCCACAAACCTCTCCAGACAAAAGCACCAAAATAATTCTCTATGCTTTACTTGTTTTATAAACACATCATTTGCGATCATTAGGTTGAAGGACCCCACTAAGGTCATGGCCCCCACCAACATATGCTCCCCTCTTTCTCCCTCTAATTGTATATAGCCTATCAAGATTTTTTTTTTTTTTTTTTCAAAAGGTCAAAAATATCCAAGTTAATTTATCTATATTTTAAATAAAAAATATTATATATTCAAAATAAAATTTAAAAATTTAAATTTAAATATATATCATCCCTTAAATTAGTATGAAATTAGCGAGTTTCACTGAAAAAATTAATAGGACTCACTCATTTAAAAAATAATATGAATTTGAATTATAATTTTTTAGGTGTCATTTGAATTTTGTAACATTACTCTTTCAACTAATTATCTGCTCGGTCTATTCATGATAAATAAATATTTTATAAACTAACCCAAAAAAATTATCAAAATTTGAACTCTTTACATACATACATCGAAGCTCTTAATCATTCCACTTGAAAAACTATCACTTTGATGGAGATTATTATAATATTATAATGTCGAATTATATAATGGGTGGAGAGATAGAGGGATTTAAAATGAGTATGTAAGATAGTATGATACAGACTAGAATAGGGAAAGCTATGGTGATTTGTATGGGGGCATGGTTTTGTTTTCTCCTTCATTCACTAGTCCATTTGAAGTTGCCCTACAACAAATTAGTGATAGTTGAATCTCTCTCTCTCTCTCTCCACTCTATAGTATAAACTATAAAGAGAGCACATACAGCTCAGACCTCATAATAGTTCCCACAACAGNAATAAAAAACTGATATGGCATGATACGATTGACAGTTTTAATATTACTGAAATTTTTTTTTATTTATTTATCGAATTTTATTATAAAAATAAAAGGATGAAGTTTAAACTCACCGCTTCAAAGTATAAAAACACAGGGCGATGGTAATTGAGCAAACCAATGTTAATTTGATAATTGATGTGTGGGACCTACCTAAGCTGTTCACCATCTTTGATGATTCAAGAAACTCATGTGANCGCTTCAAAGTATAAAAACACAGGGCGATGGTAATTGAGCAAACCAATGTTAATTTGATAATTGATGTGTGGGACCTACCTAAGCTGTTCACCATCTTTGATGATTCAAGAAACTCATGTGATTGGTTAATGTGTACCGGGGGAGAGAGTCACAGTCACTGCCCTTCTCTCTCCAATCAACTAGGCCTCCCTCCCTCCCACCCACCCACCCACAAACCTCTCCAGACAAAAGCACCAAAATAATTCTCTATGCTTTACTTGTTTTATAAACACATCATTTGCGATCATTAGGTTGAAGGACCCCACTAAGGTCATGGCCCCCACCAACATATGCTCCCCTCTTTCTCCCTCTAATTGTATATAGCCTATCAAGATTTTTTTTTTTTTTTTTAAAGGTCAAAAATATCCAAGTCAATTTATCTATATTTTAAATAAAAAATATTATTTATTCAAAATAAAATTTAAAAATTTAAATTTAAATATATATCATCCCTTAAATTAGTATGAAATTGACGAGTTTCACTGAAAAAATTAATATGACTCACTCATTTAAAAAATAATATGGATTTGAATTATAATTTTTTAGGTGTCATTTGAATTTTGTAACATTACTCTTTCAACTAATTATCTGCTCGGTCTATTCATGATAAATAAATATTTTTATAATCTAACCCAAAAAAATTATTAAAATTTGAACTCTTTACATACATACATCGAAGCTCTTAATCATTCCACTTGAAAAACTATCACTTTGATGGAGATTATTATAATATTATAATGTCGAATTATATAATGGGTGGAGAGATAGAGGGATTTAAAATGAGTATGTAAGATAGTATGATACAGACTAGAATAGGGAAAGCTATGGTGATTTGTATGGGGGCATGGTTTTGTTTTCTCCTTCATTCACTAGTCCATTTGAAGTTGCCCTACAACAAATTAGTGATAGTTGAATCTCTCTCTCTCTCTCTCCACTCTATAGTATAAACTATAAAGAGAGCACATACAGCTCAGACCTCATAATAGTTCCCACAACAGAACTCAGTTACTTGGGTTTAAGTTCACTTACTATCTTTTGGGTTTATTTATCATATTTAAGGATAAAATTTATTATTTTTTAGGTTAAAATTTATCCTTTTTGAGACTTTTTTATTCTTTAATACATATTAAAAAATAAAAATGGATTCCACAGTGTTGTCAAGCAGAAAGAAACAGGAAGGAATGAATTTTCTTCACCAGTGGGTAAGTACCAAACTGAGCTTGGACTTTATAAAGAATAGTCTCAAATTTGTGGAGCGAGAACTTAAATAATGATGCATAGGAGGAAAAAAAAACCTCGGACATTATATTTTGAGGGTGACGTGAATTCTATGTGCTCGATTTTTTGTCTTCTTACCTGATATTTTACGGAATAATTTTTTCTTGACTTGCCCTATCTGATTAAGTGTGGTACTCCTACCCGACTTTCATCCAAATTAATTGGGTAGAAAATCGGTGAACAATTTTGTAATTATTAGTTTTTAAATTATTTTAACAATTTAATTAAATAACATGCATCAATTTAACAACACAATAAACCAATAATACTAAAACCTAAAATAATTACAACAACAATTAGCAAATAGAGTCATGTGAGCTAACTTTTAAATTGTTCAAAAAACAGAAAATTGAAATGGTGAGAGAGGCAACTGACGAAGCTGGAGAGGCGATGAAGGCCTGAGGAGCAGGAGGAGATGAAGACTGAAGAGCTTCTGGTCCATTTACTACGAAAGATGAAAAGTAAGAAGAAATGAAAAGTGGAAGGAATAAACTTTTCATCTATGAAAGAAAAAAAGTTATTTTCCCTCCTTTTTGTTTAATAGAAGGGATAGGGATATATTTTTCATCGTTTGGTATTAGATGAAAAAATGAAAAGAAAGGAAAATCATACATACCCAAATTTACAATTCTACCTTTTAAATATATGTTTTGAGAAGTGGGTTTTATCATAAGGTAACAAAGGGAAAAAATGTAAATTTATCAGTCAAAAGTCAAAATTTGTTGACTTCTTCCCATTTTTAGCCCATTTTTAGGGAGAAAATAAATTGTGGGCAGGAAGGAAAAACATTCCCTCTAATTTTCCTTTATATCACTCTTTCTTTCCATACCAAACAATGGAAAGTTTTTCCATCCACCCCATTTTCCTTTCCCCGTTTACCATCCACCCCATTTTTCATCAAAAAAAACAGACCATTAGATGATAGGGTTAGGGAATTTTGGTTTTTAATATATACATTAATTAATGCGGGAAGGGGTAGAAATATAAAAATTAATGGGTATTCCGTATTCCTATGTGATTTAATCAGAAGACAAAAAAATCTTCCGTATTCTTACCTAATTTAATTGGCTAGTCGTTCAATAAGGTCGGATAAGGTAAGAAATTGTAGTTAATTGAAAATTTAACAACCCCTAATCTTCTTCCTGTAAAATAAATAAATTGTCTAGGATTGAGGGTGGACC